TGCTAAGACCTCATGGTACACCTGTAGGTGCTGGAATAAATAGAAAGAAGAGAGTGCAGATGAAGCAGAAAATAAAGAGCAAATTCATTGTGTAAAAATCCATGTTGGATATCTCTAAACAGTGCTGGGATAGGGTTATTTATTTTTTATCCAGGAACTCTTCAATCCTTAAAGACCTACCTTCTAATTCCACTTTGGAAGGAGTCAAATTTCACTATGGTTTCAGAATGAATAAACTGTTCTACCTCTTTAGCTTTGTAAATTTGACATAACCTGGAATCACTTGAAGGGAGAGTCTCAATTTGGGGATGTCTATACTCAGTTAGCCTGTTTCTGTTGGGATGGTTTTAGGTTAATTAATATTTGAACAAACTGTCCACTGTGAGCAACCCCATTCCCTATGCTGGAGATCCTGACTATATAAAAGTGGAGAAACTGAATTGAGTACAAGCCAGTGTGTGAATATACTACATGTATTATGGTGTGAATGTGATGTGATATGACTGTTTGTTTGATTTCCTGGTTTAGTTTCCACTCAGTACTGGACAATGACCTAGAATTGTAAGCCAAATAAATCCTTTCTCCCAAAAGTTACCTTTGTCACAATATTTTGGAACAGAAACAAAAATCAAACTATAGAAGCAGGGCATATTATTAACTCAGAAATCCTTCCTGATCTTGACAACCTTGAAATTCCAAGAGGGCACTCATAACAAAGACCAAACCAGTTATTATTGCAACTTGAACCATGGGCAGGGAAGAGATTATAATTACACAATTACAATTACAAAAGTCAATGGTGTTGATGTACTCTCCACTGCTAGCTCTGGTTGCTGCCCTTGTTCCTTGCAGAGGACTGAAATTATTTTCTGCTATAGATATTATTTTAATTAATTGTTCTTTTAATTTACTTTTAATTATTTTTTTTATTTCTTACAATTTATTTATTTTATATCCCAATTACAGTCCTGTCACTCATCTCTTCCCAGCCCCACCCTCCCTCTTCTCTCCTTTCCCTTTTCCCTAGTCCACTGAAAGCGGGAGTTTTCATCCCCTGCCATCTGCCCCTAGCTTATTACTAGTCTTTTACTTCATGAAGTCTGATGTGCAAGAACAAACGGAAAAAATGATAATTTCTATTTCTTCTTTTAATGTGTGTGTTGTGTAAGGGTGTGTGTGTGTTCATGTGTATGCATGTACAGATGCATGATTGCATGTATGCATGTGTGTGTTTGTGTGTTGTGTGTGAGTGAAATGTGTGTCAAAGTATGTGTGTGAAGGTCAGGGAATAAGTTTGTGTGTCGGTACCCACCTTCTTACATTGAGACAAAGGCAATTATCACTTGCCAATTCCAGTCTTCATCTTCTGTCTTGAAACAGGAGTACAGGACTTAAAAACATGCACTTTTGTAGTGGTTTTACATGGGCTCTAGGGAGCCATATACAGGCCCTTAGTCTTGTACAGCAAGTGCTTTCTCCAGATCAATTGTGGTTCAGAAATGGGAAGTTTCCATAGGTGTAAAGAGATACAACACTCACACTGTATTTTCCTTTTTAATGGGAACTTCATAAATGGTTTCTTCAAACAGGCTTACTTTCAGTAGGTGTTGACAATATGACTTACTTCCTTAGTTATAGTATCTTGTATGATCAAAAAAGTCAAAACTGAATTACAGAGTCTAAAGTAGGTGATTAAAGCACAAATGCACACAGAGTAAGAATAACAAAACCAAATGCTATTTTAGAAAATACTATTTTAAATTTTCAAAATATTGACACAATACTATTTAGAAGATACTGTGTAGAGTCAGTAGAAGGTAATGTTTTTACACTTAAGAATAGAAGCATGAGACAAGCACCTTGTCACCTGCTGTGAGAGGAAACCAGTGTGAAATAAGATAGCGAAATTGGCTAGCTCATTAGGGAGGAAGAAAAGAGAAGGCCTGAAGCCAGCTGGCTCCAGACATGAATTGCTTGGATATTACAAAATTATACAAGCACATTTTTCTGGTCTCTGGTCAGGAGTTCCCAGGAGCATTACAGGAAATTGAAGCTCTCAGCTATATCTTCCAGCTTCTTCAAGGTAAGTCAGTACCAAATGTCCTGATGCTCACAATGTCAGTCTTCTCCAGACCCAGGAAGGTAGTTGATTCTTTCCTCTTGGAGCTTATATCTTCTATGTTCGGCTAATAACAAAAATCCAGCCTGATGCCAGGACCATTTTAGCTTTTTGAGAAAGCTCTTCTTTAAAATTAAATTAAATACTTTATTATTTCAGGGTTACTGTTTTTCTTGAAGAATTGGATGTTTAGTATTAAAAAAAAAATTAAAAGAAAAATTTTATCATTAAACAGGCCTGTGTGCATATGTATGTGTGTGCGTGTGTGTCTGTGCAATTTCAACCTTTTTAGTTTGAGTTATTAGATTTACATGAGTCTTTGTGAGTATTCTGAGAGTATTTTGCAATCTCGTGGGGGTAATGTATTACCCATTGAGGCCAGTACAGGTGTTAGATTCTTTGGAGGTAGAGGTACAAGTGGTTGTGTATTGGCCCTCATGACTGATGAGTTTAGAACTCAGGTCTTCATGACTAAGCAACAAGTACTCTTAGATATTGAACCATCTCTCAAGCCCTCATTTATATTTTCAGTTATTCTTTTGTCTTGTACTTTTCTATTTGATCCCCATGGAAGAAAATGCATATGCTAATTACTTAATAATAGCTGTTTAGAGGACAAGGGCTTCATTCAGTGGTAGGGTGGTTGCTTAGCTGTAAACTCTGGGTTCTATTCCCAGCACTATAAAAGGAAATGGGGGGTTATGCTTTTGTCCTTTTTTCACAACTTTCCCTTTGAGGACTCTCCATACTGACACCCAGACTGGTTGGACAAATTTGCAATTCCACCTACTATGAATGAGGATTCTCTTTAAACAACCCTGTAACAGTTGTCGATTGGTTGTTTCATTTTTGTCATTCTGACTGGGATAAGATAAAAAGTCTCAAAGTTGTTTTGTGTTTCCTTTTCCTAATTTTTAGGGTTCTGAACATTATTTTATTGACTCTTAGTCATTTTTTTCTTTTGTCCCAGTTCATTTTTTGAGTGTGTCATTTGTTTTATTGTCTATATTTTGAGTTCATTATATATTCTGGATAGAAGAAAGGTGTAAAAGTTCCCTCTAAGCCTATGGTATTTCTGTTCACCAAGGTTTAGTGTTTCTTTAGCTGTGCAGAAATTCTTTAGTTTAAGGAATACAACTTGTGCATTGTTGGCCCTAATTCTTGGGCAAATAGAGTCCTGCTCAGAAAGGATTTCCCTAAAGCAGTGTCATAGAGGTCACTGCCTTCCTTCTTTTACCACTTTTATTTTATTTTCAAGTTTCAAGTTAGGTATTTGATCCACTTGGATTTAGTTTTGTACAATGTTGTCAATATAGGTCAATTTCATTCTTCTGCATGTGAACATCCAGTTTCTCCAGCACCATGTAATGAAGATGCTTTCTATTCTACAGCTTACATTTTTGCTAACTTTGTCAAATATTAAATGACTAAAGTTTTGTCTCATGTAGTAGGACTTTTACTTTATTCCACTGTGCTACACGTCTGCATTTGGGCCGTTTTCTCAAGTTTTCTATTGCTGTGATGAAACACCATGAACAAAAAACAACTTGAGGAGGAAAAGGTTTATTTAACTTTTACTTCCATCTCACAGTTCATCATCTTAGGAAGTTGCATCAGGAACTCAAACAGGGTAGGAACCTAAAGACAGGAGGTGACACAGTGACCATGGCTGCTTTCTAGCTTGCTTACATTGGGCTGCTCAGCCTGATTTCTCATCAAAACCAGGACCACCAGATCAGTGACGACAATACTGGGATCTTATTGAGGCATTTTCTCAGTTGAAGATCTTTTATTTTAGATAGCTCTAGTTTGTATATCAAGTTGACATAACCCTAACCAGCACTGTCATGTGCATTTTATTAAAAACTATGGTTATGTAATGTAATTTAAGATTTGGAATTGTAGTTATCTCCAGCATTATCATTAGTTATTTTACTCAGGATTGTTTTGTCTGTCTAGGATCTTTTGTGGTCCCATATTAATTTTTAGATAGTTTTCAATGAGGTGAGATGGAGACTTTGAGAAGGGTCATTCTTAACAATATTATTTCTACTAATCTATGGGCATGGGATGCCTTTCCAAGTTGTATCATCTTTTATCCTCTCTTTTTTTCAGAACTTTAAGATTTTTTTAATTATTATTATTACAGAGAGTCTTACTTCCTTGGTTAGGTTAATTCCTAGATATTTTACTTTCTTTGAGTTTATTGCAAATAGAGGTGAGTCCATAACCTCTTTCTCAGCTGGTGTGGTGGTACTGTATTTGTGAAAGTTGACTCTGTACCCTGCTAGGTTGCTGAATTTATCATTTCTAGAAATTTTCTGGTATAATTTTTGAACTTTCTAATATCATCTGCAAGTATGGATAGTTTGATTTCATTAGTTCTATTTTTTTTTATCAATTTAAATTCCTTCTCTTGCTTTATTGCTCCAGCTAGTACTTCAAACAAAATGTTTAAAGTGAGCAGATATAGTGGACATCACTGCCTTAATCCTGCTGTCGGTGGGATTATCTTAGTATTTTCTCCATCCAGGATGATTTTGGCATGCATTTCCACATATATAGACATTATTGTGTTGAGGTATAGTTCCTCTAGTCCTATATTTTGTAAGACATGCATCATGTAGTCACATTAGATTTTATTAGAGGCATTTTTCTACACCTATTGAGACAATAATTTTATTTTTTTCTTCACGTGTTTTATTATATTTTTCAACTTGAATTTAAAGGATAAAACCAACTTGATCTTAGTAATATCTTATTGATGCATGCTTGTAATGTGTTTGCAAGTATCTTACTGAGCATTTTTGAATGTTTTTTTACCAGGAATATTGGGATGCAGTTTTCTTTTTTGTTGTTCTTTCTTTACTTCGGTTTTAGTAAAAATAGAGAATGCTTCAAGACTGTGTGTCTTTCCTTTGCACAAGGGGCAACCTAATCTTCTCTGTATCATTCCCATTATAGTATATGTGCTGCTGAAGCAACCAGTCACTTGTTCTTAAGGTTTAAGAAAATGGAAATGTATACCAGTGTGCATATACTTGGTTATATGAATATACACATGAAGTTATAATGTTTGCTAATATGCATTTGTCAATTTATCTCCTGATAAAAATTTGAGATGTTTGTGCCTCTGGGCTATTGTAAAAGATGTTACAAGGTACATGCGTGTTCAAGCAACTCTTTCATATTTTGATTCAATGGTTTGAAATTTGCTCAGAAGTAAAATTATTTCAAATGACAATTTTTAACTTTTGGTAAGTCAATGTGATGTTTTCTATAGCAATTGTACTGTTATACATATTTTTACCAATAGCAATTACATATTCCAAGTTCACCAATATTCTCACAAACAATTATTAATGTAATGTTTCTGGTAATATCTACCTTAATGAATATGAGATGACATTTTAAAATTTTGTTTTTTTAAGATTTGAGGATTTTTTCCTTTTTCCTCATATTTTAGCACAGTCTTAAGGTTCTAGAAAGTGTTTACAAACATAATGACAAAAAGAAAAATGAATTAGTAAAGGAAATATTTTTAACATAAATTTGAAAATAAAAGATAAAAAACCATGAACTACAAAAAAAGTATCTGTCACCATTTGTTACATTTCAAGTTTCATGTACACTACTATTTCACAATGTGTATGACAAAGGAAAAACTCAGCAAATTCTTTTTTCATTATTCATCCCACATGGATATTTCTTTGTGTCTCTATCTGGTCCATAAATGCAGGAATTCTCAATTTATTCTGATGTCACTTCCTAAGCCTGGTGCAAAATGTTCTTGCTGACCCCTTAAGGAGGTCAAGCATCACTGAAAAAAAAGGCCTGAAGATTAGGATATATTTTGGTGCAGATATAAAGGATATGCTGTAGTCAAATTAATATTAATTTTAGGAAAGCTATGTTCTCTCAGTCATCTATGTACTGTTTAAGGGAATCCCTGGGTTGTTTTAAGCACATGACTTTTGCTCTAGCAAAGCTGAGGCTCACTAGATACATAGAGCAAATTGTTCAGGGAAGGTTAATTTTTTGATGCATGTTTTATGCATAAGTAAATTGGAACATGGAGATTAGATCACACTCCAGCTGTTTCTTTGTAAGACTGTGTTGTATCTTCTTTGCAATTCTAAGACAATAATAGCCTTCAAACTCCAGGGGTTATACATGAACACAGAAAAAAAAAAAAAAGGATATTAAACTAAAATACAAATTCTAATTGCCCCAGTGTAATCCTCAGGCAATGGTCCCCACAAATGCTTTCCAACATAGATGCCATCAAATGTTTCCTGGACTGTGTATGGCATTCATTTATAAAAGAACAATTCAGCAAGATCAAACAAATCACCCACGAATAAAAACCTGCTCCTGGATCAAGTGCTACTTACTATGTTATTCAAAAGAAGAATTAATTGCCGAGACCAGGCTGGGGTGAGGGCAGAGCCTGAAGAAGGGTGGATACAGGAGCAGTGAGGGAGGAATGAGTCAGGCATGGGGAACAGGGAGGAATTTTGCATCCTGACTGAATGACAGTCTGGGTGCTTCTTTATTTATACATAGTTTTAGCAGGCAGGGATAGATGCACCTTGTTCCAAAACATAGATCATATCATTTTTGTTCCTGCACACGTATTTTAACTTCCACTTGGTCATAAGTTTAGCCATATTGATAAACCGTGACAGAACAGAATTATCTTTTACAATCAATTTTTCTAATCAATTCCACCATCCAACTTTTAACAATGTTGCAGTTTCAAGGGCATATTTTTACAAAGCATGACATCCTGTTCTCAGGCTGGTAGCTCCTGCGGTTTCAAATACACTAGACAGAAAGAAAACATGCAAGGCAGCCTGAACAGATTGTCATGCCCTAGACAGTGCATTATCAGCTTTTAATAGTCAAAGTGCTAACTGTCATTAGGCACAAGAAAAGTCTCTAAGCTGAAGTTCTTGCAGTTATTTTCTAAATTTTGCGATAATAAAATGCTTATATTTTATATTTTTGTAGAATTTATTTACATGTTTAATGTTGGTATTCTTTTGTTCCTTGATCATATGACACCATAGTGAACCTATATGAGTTTATTTTTTCTAAGAAAAGCGGGTTTAAATATTTTATTCTTTTATCATTAATCCACACTATTCTTTGTTAAATTGTAGCAGGAAACGGCTTTTAGTTTGATCTGTTGACAACTTCCTTTGCTATCAAATATTGTTTACCTTTTTAAGTTAACTTTGTTTTGATTATCTTGTTCCTGAATAAGAATCATCAAAGGGCAAATGGGTCAAGAGTATCTTTGAGTCATTGGCTCATAAAGATTTCTCTGGCATAATTATTTGAGACAAAATTTCTAGGGCATAAGGAAGACCGTCAACTAGGCCTAGATCATACAATGGACAGAAGAGAGTATCTTTAACAAATGGTACTGGTCTAACTGGATATCTACATGTAGAAAAATGCAAATAGATCCATACTTATAACCCTGCACAAAACTAAAGTCCAAGTGCATCAAAGACCTCAATATAAAACCAGACACACTAAACCTGTTAGAAGAAAAATTGTGGAAGAGCCTTGAACTCATTGACACAGAAGAGAACTTCCTGAATAGAACACCAACAGCACAGGCTCTAAGACCAACAATCAATAAATGGGACCTCATGAAATTGAGAGGCTTCTGTAAAGCAAAGGACACTGTCATCAGAACAAAATGACAGCCTACAGACTGGGAAAGGATCTTCACCAACCCCATATCTGACAGAGGGCTAATATCCAGAATATATAAAAAACTCCAGAAGTTAAAAAGCAACAAATCAAGTAATCCAATTAAAAATTGGGGTACAGAACTAAACAGAGAATTCTCAATAGAGGAATATTGAATGGCAGAGAAACACTTAAAGAAATGCTCAATGTCCTTAGTCATCAGAAAATGAAAATCAAAAACTCAAGTGACAATACCTGCTGGAGAGAATGTGGAGAAAGAGAAACCCTCCTCCATAGCTAGTGAGAATGTAAACTTGTACAACCAAAATCAATCTGGCTCTTTCTCAGACAATTAGGAATAGTGCTACCTCAAGATCCAGCTATACCACTCCTAGGCATATACCCAAGAGATTTTCAAGTATACAACAAGGAAATTTGCTCAACCTTGTTTGCAGCACCTTTTTCGTATTAGCCAAATTCTGGAAAAAGCCAGATGCCCCTCATTTGAGGAAATGATACAGAAATTGTGGTATATTTACACAATGGAATACTAGTTAGCAATTAAAAACAAGAAAATCATGAAATTTGCAGGCAAATGGTAGGAACTAGAAAAGATTATCCTGAATGAGGTATCCCAGAAGCAGAAAAACACACATGGAATATATTCACTTATAAGTAGATATTATCAATATAAGATAAACATGCTTAAATCTGTCGCCTGCTTTTTGATCCCTCCTTCCTGGCAGAGCAAGAAGGAGGACCCTGGATGAGATGATCAATCCTCACACAGAAAAGCAAAAGGGAAAAACATTGGAAGAGGGAGAAAACAGGGAACAGGATGGGAGCCTACCACAAAGCGCCTTTGAAATACTCTACCCAACAGTGTATCAAAGCAAATACTGAGACTCATAACCAAACATTGTGCAGAGTGCAGGGAATCTTATGAAAGAATAGGGAGAAAGACCGGAGGGAACAGAAGTTCCACAAGGAGAGCAACAGAACAAAAACATCTGTACAAAGGGGTCTTTTTTGAGACTGATACTCCAAACAAGGAACATGCATAGAAATAACCTAGAACCCCTGTATAGATATAGCCCACGGCAGCTCAGTATGCAAATGGATTACCTAGTAATGGGAACAGGGACTGTTTCTGACATGAACTCAGTGGCTGGCTCTTTGATCACCTCCCCCTAATGGGGGAGCAGCCTTACCAGGCCACAGAGGAAGACAATGCAGCCAGTCCTGATGAGACCTGATACACTAAGGTCAGGTGAAAGGAAAGAAGGGACCTCCTATATCATTGGACTGGGGAAAGGGGCAGAGGGGAGAAGAGGGAGGGAGGGCGGGATTGAAATGGGAAGGAGGGGCTAAAGCTGGGATGCAAAGTGAATAAACTTTGATTTATTTTAAAAAATAAATTAATAAAAAAATAAATAAATAAAATTTTAAAAGCCTAAAAAAAAAGAATATCTCCCTAAAAGTGGGGGGAGGGAGTGCGTGGGGGGTAGCATGGTCACGAAATTCCTGGGAAAGCTTATAAGCTTTACTCCAGGGAGATGGAGTAAATGATTCATAAGAAAATTTCTACCAATCAGATATCTCCAAATTGTACAGAAAATAAAAGACTCCAAAGCATGAGACAAGTAAAGATCAAGGCCAAAAGAACAGGAGATGTCACCATAGCAATTCCATCACTAGACTCAGCTCTGCTAGACTTTGTCAAGGTGCTGTGTTGATTTTCATTGTTCCCATTAACTATGGCTGTGCCAATTAACCCTTTTCTACTTTTAATCAGGTCACACTGAATGCATTTCAAATGGATATTTCTTAAAAAGCTTTCATTTCAATTCATTGTTATAAGATTTGTTCTGACAGGAACTCAATGGCAGGCTCTTTGACCTCCCCACCCCCCAAGGGAGGAGCAGTCCTGTTAGGCCACAGAGGAGGACTTTGCAGCCAGTCCTGAAGATGCCTGATAAAATAGGGTCAGATGAAAGGGGAGGAGGTCCTCCCCAATCAGTGGACTTGGAAAGGGGCAGGGAGGAGATGAGGGAGGGAGGATGGGATTGGGAGGGAATAAGGGAGAGGGATACAGCTGGGATAGAGAGTTAATAAAATGTAACTAATAATAAAAAAATAAAATTAAATTTAAAAAAAAAGATTTGTTCTTTGTTCATTTTCTCTAGAAGGAATACTCCAAAAAAGATAAACATAGAAGAATAATTTGTATGTAAGAGGTTTCAAAAAAACACAGATATCTACAGACATATAAAATCAT